AATAATTATACATCATATATTTCTTTTTGGAAGTTAAGGCCCATAAATTTCTACAAATACTAAAGTATTTTCGGCTTTTACTAAATTTTATTGCAAAAATTCTATTTTATCAATTAAATTTCTGCAAGTAATTTGGTTTGTAAACTATAAAATTATTTATGCGCATAATTTTAAGTAATTAATACATAAATATTTTAACACTTCTTAATGATTTTTAATTGAAAAAGTTATAAACATTTATTTTGACGTATGTGTATAGAGGTGAAATATATGGTACTCTTACTAATAAATTAAAATTTTCATAGCCATATTGTTTACAAAAAAAAGTACTAAAAATTGTAAATAAATATTAAAATAAATATATACATTTTTTAAAATCAATACATTTAAATATATTTTTCTTTCAAAAAAATTTTATTGCTTTGCTATTAACAATTTCACGAAAGTATCGGGTGTTTTAACTAAAATGATTATACAACTCTGAACTATTGTTGGAATGAAATATTTTTTATTATAATCTAGTAAATAATTTCATGGCATTTATTTTTTTTTTGAATATGATTTCCGGCATATGTCCGCCGCGACTATGAGTTCCGTGGTCTATTCGATCAGTCCAATTTTTGACTATTTTTGGCAGGAATATTAGCTTCCAATGCTTCAAGAGTTCTTGGTTTGTCGGCATAAATCAATGACTTAATATATCCATATTAATAGTAATCTAGGGCCGATAAATCGCACGAATAAGGGGGCCAGTTAACAGGATCAGTTCTGGAAGTAAATTGTTACCAAATTGATTTGGCAATAAATCTAATTTTAAGCGCGCTGTATGGCAAGCTCCGCCGTCTTATTGAAACCAAATATCGTCGATAATTATTGAGATCAAAATTCAGTTAGTATGGCTCTATAACGCTCGCCATTAACCGTAACGGCAGCTTCTTCTTTATTTCGAAAAAAATAATGACCGATGCCAGTATGTAAACCGCACCAAACAGTCAATTTTAATGGATGTAATTGTGACCCGTTAACGGCTTGAGGAGGATTATCTTCGCTCCAATAAGCGTATAGCTTATTGAGGTAGCCATTTAACCAGAAATGAGATTTCTCACTAAACATAATTCTTCGTCGAAGTGCTCTATGAACTTCGCGATCAGATTTATTTTATTCAAAGTAAATTACCACAATTTTGAAACGTCGATCTAGCGTTAAATAATTCATGACGAATTGCTAAATCTTACTGAACAGAAATAACATAGTTAACGATGTCGATAGTTGGCGCTAGTGCTAAAAAAACACCCTGTAGTAGAGCATTGGGTGTTGGTTAAAATTTCAGTAAAATTAATATAGAAATAATCCTAGTATAGTAGAATAATTTTGAATAAAATTAAAATAGAAGTAATCCTAGTATATTAGAACACTGCTAAAGTAGGAGATCTTTCATGAATAACATAAGTTCTCTCAACTAACGCTAACCGTACAGAAAAAACTCAGCCTTTCTAATGAAAGCTAAAATGTATATTGTTAGATATTTAAAAAAAATCATTTGGGGATATTATTTCTACTATTTCTTTCAATATTGACATAAGATTTGTTGGATAAATTATCGAAACTTTAATATTGCAAAAGATATACTAGTATTTAGTTTATGAATAAAAAAATAATGCATTTTGAATCACCGCGTGGATTTGCTTCTCGTGAGTACTTTCTCTCTTCTCAATTAATATTTGATAAAAGTCCACTTAAATCTTTAATAAAGTCTGACTTTTTATAATTAAAATATTAATTTCACTTAAAGAAAATTTTTAAAATCAAAAAATTTATTCTCAAGATATATAATCGCGTTCCGGTTCATAAGTCACGTACATTATTCATATACTCATCAAATAATTTGTAGGCAATATCAATACTATCACTACTACTACTGAAGTGGTCAATCATTATAACTGTTCTAAATAGGCATGATTTTCTGACATATCTGGGACATAACAGATACCTGACGAATTTTAATTCTTTAACAAATAACTAATTGTTTGTTGAGCTTCAGTAAACAATATTTCTCAAGTTTATATTTTTTGATATTCTTTGCTCAAGTGCTATAGATCATAAATAACAGTAATTGAACAGATCATAGATCAATTGCTAATTCATCTCACCGTTGTTGCTTTTGGTGTTACTTCATCAGATAATCGTTTGCTGAAATACAGCTAATATCAAAAACATCCTCATAGAATTTAGAAATGTACTGACTCCCAACAATCATGGCAGGTCTTTTGTACTAGTAGTCCCCCAACCCATTATTAGTTTGTATAAATATTAATAAATATTTCCTCCTTTCATAACTGATGCAAAAATTTATTCATTGCTACACGTATGTATATACTTAAGTCTCAACAAATGACTAATGTTTAGTGTGATATTTAAAAGTGTTTAACTTTCAATTAATTATGTGTTTAACACAAATTAATACAATATATTTAATGACAAAATTTGAAAAAAAATTATAATTAATTAAATACTTATAATAATTCTTTTTCTACACATTTCATTATACGCTCCTTCAAATTTCCTAAGGTTAACTATCTGCGAAATAAAAAATAATTATTATTAACTAATTAATCCATCAAAATGATTAATTATAAGAAGGTTTAGCTGTGATTATTTAGCCTTAAGACTTGTAGCGACGATTTCATTGATGATTTTGTGAATATAATAAAAGTAGTAAATGAGTTCTAATTTAATTTAGAATTTTTTATTGGGTTATATTGTAACATAAATATTAAATTTTACATTTTTGTTTTGTTGAGTCATTAGTAATAGATATTTTTCCAAATGCCGTTTCCTTAATGCCTTTTGATTATTAAAAAATATGAAATGAAATATTGTTTTTCCCACTGTTGTGTTTGTAAGATACCCGTATCTCAAACATAATCTTAACTCAGTTATCTCACATTTCAGTTATCTTATTATTATAGTTAATTACCAGTTACAGTTTTATTGCTAAGTTTCTTAAACTGATTTCGCAAAGTCCATTACTTTCCTCAAGACTCACATTTTATGTTTATTGGAGTCATAGCTCCACTAACCTTCCCAAGTCGCAACTAAGCAAACGCAAAACGATACACTCGTAACGAACGGTTGTGACCAACGAAGCGTTACAGTTCAGCTTTAGGTTCAAATTGATTCCATCAACGAATTTCGCAAAGTTTTTAATAGAATTTGCGCCCTTTATTTCTGGCCTATGACTGTCACGGTAAAAAATTAGCTCATAAGTGTTTCGTTGCTTCTTTGGTCTCGAAATGCTAATTTAGTATTAATAGTATATACCATTTAAGTTTAAGTTATAATTACTTTTTTAACATTGCAACATTTAATGGCTTTCATTTGGCTATGGTTTGCCCTATTAAACCTAAAATTAAACATGGACTGCAGTGACTATAAAACAAAATCGAAATTAATACGTATTTTTGTATTTACCATAATTGTTTTATATTTATTTGTTTATTTTTATACTGTCAGTAGATACTCAAGTAATTAGATCTTATATAGGAAACTGACCGTGAAATTAGTATAAACATTAATACTCTAATATATATAATTGTATCTTTAATTAATATTTAAATTTCAACAAATATGACTTTACTAAATAAATACAGCATTAATATATACTATACTATTGAAATAAATTGAACAAATTATTTAAGTATAATTGTTTGTATAAATTATTTGTTTAATTTAGAATAGCTTCGATATTTATATAAAGGTCTATATTACTATATTAAAATAAAAATTGGCACTAATTTACAATTTTTTATTTTATTCACATAAACCTTTTCAAAAAAAACAGAAATAAATACACATAAATTATATTAATTTAAATGATTAATTTTTTTGTAATTTAAGAACACAGTTACTAGTCTGTCAGCAAAAAAAAATTTATATTTATTTGCCTTTTATTTATTTATATTTTTGCCTATTTATATATTGGAGTTTAATTTTAGAAGAGACAAGATATTATTTTCATTCGAGTTTTTTTTTATAAAAGAAGCCTAAAAGTTCCAATTCAAAGGTCGGGAACATGATTAGACTTTAGACAAGCAATTCCCTTTCTAATTTTCCTTATTGCATTTTAATTTATATGATTTATTAGTTGTTAAACGACTTTTTTTAAATTTAGTATAAGTTTTCTGTATCTTATGAGTTTCTTCGTCAAATAAAACTAAAACTTATTATTAGTATTCCACAAAATGTGAAAATCTTTTTACTTGACCTGCATTAAATTGTGGTTTGAATGAAAGTTACTTGAATTAAAACAAAGTGATAAGGAAACATCTCATTTGTCATTTAATATCGCCCCACAAATATCTCGAGTTGTCTTTTAAGATTTTCCTCGCAACGATCGACTGCGATATGTGGCAGCTCTGCCGCAAGGTAATCCGACACGCCATGATATTAAAGTCAACAAGCGGTTAACTGAGATAATTTGTTAAACTCATTCCAGTAGCGGTTTAAAGTAAACGTTTTCATTAGACTAAAGAGAAATATATTTAAATTTTTCATAAAAAGTCTGCTTAAAACCTTTTGTTCAATTGATTCAGATATTATATAGATTACAAAAATTTTAAAATATATATAGATATATTTTATATATCTATATATCTATTTTATATATCTAAATATACATATTTCATAATAAAATAATATTTTTAAATAATTTAATATCGGCTTCAAAGCCGATACTCCCATGCACGAATATCTTACAATCAACTTAAATTATGTATACCACAATTTTAAAAAATTTCCCACACCCTTCGTATGTAATATCATCTTACAAATGTTATTGTGGTAATGATTTCAAATACCAACTTCGCTACTTAGATTTCATTTAATTCTCATAATTTTTAGATACTCAGCACAATTATTATGAACATTGCGGCATCAGTTTTTTTAATTTTTATTTTAAATTAATTTCAATATTAGTAATAATTTTTTTACTATTTTTTCAGTATGGCTTACGTCAATTGGATCTCTCCTTACTGTCTCAACTATGGGCGCTTAACGATTCCATACAGGAATTTCGCACTATAATACAAGAACAAGATCAAGAAGATTCGTTCTCACATTCTCCGTCGCCCGCATCATATGACTCAGCCTCTTCGGAAGGTGATGATGAAATGCTAGCCGCTCAACGTAGTGCTGGTGCGATACCAAAAATCATAACAACGCAACCAAAATTAAAGAAATCAAATTCCAGTAAATCTGCAAATATGGACAGAAATCGTCCCATTTCACCAACTTTCACAACTCAACTAAATTCCGCAGATACACAAACACAGGCAAACAAGGCAAATTTAAATATGCCATTTTATGCCACAGCAATACAGTCGCAATGGCAACCTCAGCAACAACAACAACAGAAGCCGCCAATACCGAAACCACTCGATTTGAAACCAGTGCCACGCATGCGCAGCGCACCGCCACCACCACCTACAGTTCGGAAAGCAGCAGCACCGCCACGCCCTACATGATATTATCTAACGGACTTCCTCGCCGGAGTCAAGATGGTCATGTGTAAAGTATTTGTTGGTGATGTAGCTGCTGCTCAGATATCTGATAATGAATGATCATTGTTGGTGCAATGCAAAGTTGGCAGCAGCAGCAGCAGCAGCTTGTCACGTGGCGGGGAATTTCGTATGCGGGCTAAGAGCTAAGGTTGACCATCCATAGTTTTAGTAAAATGCAATTTTCAATAATTTTTTAACTTATAAATGCAATAATTATATATCAAAGACATTTTACATTTATAATTCATATACACGAATATATATAATACGCGAATATGAAAAGAAAAAAATTACCTTATACAATTTTAAGAGCATTGAGTGTGATCTACAGCAATTTTAAGTTTAGTTTGTATTTCTACTAAGGCATTTCTCCAAATGTTTATATACGAGAATGTTATATCGGGCTTAGGAATATCGGTTTATTATAAAAATAGATGAAAACACTAATTAATTAATTTCTTTAAGTGCGATGCTATAAACGATTGAAACTAGATTTTATAACAAATTAAATAATTCATTTTACAATTTAAGTGTAAATATACTATATACGAATTACAGCTACTAATTATGTTATGCTTAAAATCATTATTATTAAATAATAAATAATAAAATTATACAAAACTAAGAGCTATGCTGTTTTCTTTTTGTATTTAAAGAACTTAATATATGTAATACTCACTATACTCTATAACAAGAATAAGCTTTATATAAAAAAGTAAAAAGTTATTGAAAACTATTAAAATCATCATTAAACGTTCTATTCCGACCCTGTTCCAGTTTTATTCAAAGTATATACAGTGTCTTTTTCAACCCAACCATCGAACCACGTTAATATTATTATCTTTTTTGAAATCCAATAATACATTTAACCGAATCTATATTACTCCAAGAATATTTTGTTTCACTCATTACACATTATTAAGAATAGAATAGCGTTTAAGACTGTTATTGCTATAGTCAATACTTAGCTATTAATATATAAGATTAAAAATTCCACATATCCCAGTTTAATACAATAAAAATTCTAAAGTGAAGTTGTGTTTTGGTAAGATTTTGGGATAAAGATGTTATGGATGAAATAGACATATTTAAAAATGCTAAAGCACATCATTAATGAAAATCATTATGAAGCCATGATAACAGATTTTCTATATAATAAACAAAAAATTTGTTTCTTAACATTTATCTAGAATGACATGAATTGATAAAATTATCACTTCTTTACTGATGTTTTACCAAACTCTCCTGATAATTAGAAGAAGAGAAAGAGAGTTATTTCTTATGAAGTGACAGTGCTTCGAAGTAGCCTTTGTATTATCTCAAAATACATACCATTGTTGAAAACGAGTATCTATCATAAAGTTCTTTAATTCAATTATCGAGTTCTACGTGAGTTTTGTCTCCAAAATTCTATAGATGCATAATTTTTACTCTGTCACAATTAATAGTTATCATATTTGTCAGACTACAATATATAAATACAGAATTTATAATATAGAATATAAATTACAATAAATTTACTTAATTTAATTTTTATTTGAAAATTATATAGTTTTAACATAAGAGATATATTTTCTTAGGCAAAATATAGAAAATTAATAATTTATTTTTATTTTTTCCATATTTCTACAATTTTAATATCTTTCTTTCTAACTTTTAATGCTATCAGCTGACACTTTGGCTATTTCGCTTTTTTTTTTCAAATGTTAGTGGACATTTTGGTGTCTAATTTATACAAATATCCTCGAATACGTTTCTACTAAGTTGAGTATACATATTTTCACATTGACATTCAATTATATTATATATCATTTATATATAAACATATCCTTCAATAAGAATAACTTATATGGAGTAAATTTCTAGCTTAATTGATTTAGTAACTGCTGTTAAGGATTTCTCTATTTAACTGCTGCTCTGGTGCTATTGATTAAATAATTTTTATTATTAGTGTAGTGCACTGTGTCATCTATACTCAGATATGATAGTAGATAAATGAAAAATTACCTTTTAATTATCTTTTAAGATATCTTTACAATTAATTAATTATGCTCAGCTATACTCAGCTTTTGACAAAATTGATTTATTTGATTGAAACTTAATGTTCATTTTTAGCTTAAGTTTGTAAAAATATGCAAGATTATCTTTGTGAAATTTTTAAGATATAATCTTGTACTTCTGTGAAATGTAAAAAAATCTCTTAAGATGCAATTTATGTTATAAACACAATTGAAATTATATATTTCTAACACAAAAAATTCGACAAGTTTTTATGTAAACCTTTTTGGTATATATTAATTTAGAGATATCTCCGACTGTCTCAGTGGTTATAAATGTATCTATATAATCTATGCTGTTCCTGTAAACTGTCACCTATCACAGCTGCACATCTCAAAAAATAGAAACAATGCCATGACCTGAAATAGAGTTAAGTATGCAGCTTGCTCCATATGTACACATACTTGATCCAGAAAGTGCTCAAACTCTTGAATCTCCTGACCGAGTATAAGCATAAAAACCTATAAGCTTGGTAAATTTTATCATGAAACTAGTACTAGTACTAGGCACAGTACTATGAGCAATAGACTTGAAATGTATAAATAAATTTAGTGGTCCTTCATTGCCAAATTAAAATTATCTCAGCTTAATTTTCCTAATATATAAGTAAATATGTTTCTCTACATTTATGGAATAAGGTTTGGCACAGTTTTATGAGCGTAGATTTGAAGTGTACACATAGGTAACTACGCTGCCTTGCTCACATTATATAGCTTATTTATATATATAATTTTTATTATATACTTTATCTTTTAGGTGTCGTATAAGTAAAAAAGTAAATTCTTTATTTGAATTTTTATACTCGTATCTTTTGCAAAGCATTCATTGGTTAAACTTTTGGCAGTATTCGTATACTGCATTTGGATTTTAAATCAAAATAAACAATTTTAGAAATTTCAATTAGCATAAAGATATGATAATTTTTTACACATTAAGTCAAATCATAAATAAGTAAAGAAAGTTCTGCTTTTCGGCATTGTCAGCAACTTTTACTTTTGCGGTTTCGGACACAAACACGCCACCTACAATTGGAAGAGAATTAAAATTCTGTAATCGTAGCAGTTTTTACAACATGAAATAAATTTTCACTTTCTGTTTTAATTCTTGTCATAAACTGCGAATAACTAAAACCACTAAAAGCACACATTTACCAGAAAAATACTTAAGCAAAAGGCCTGACAGACCCAAATACTGCACACTTAAGACCGACGCGTCGGTCCAGTTTACATGAATCTAAAAACAATTTTTTTTCTAAAATGTTTATATTAAATGTTTTAAATGTTTATATTTTTTATTAACAAAAAATTGTAATGAAAACGTTTGTGTTAATTAAATTGAATTTGACTTGGTTCGGAAAAACAAATTATACTTGTTTTTGTATTAAGCCATGATTGAGGTGTCGATTGATATTGACCTCAACCGCAAATGAAATTAGCATAGCGGATAAAGGCTAACATTTGCATGTGAATGCGTACTCTAATCATGTGTAAAATCACGCTAAATAATGTAACACGCATGGAATCGATAGAATGTCTTTATAAAGAAACTACTGAAATTAGAATTGTAGTTAAATTGATATTAACCTACTAGGG